ACGGTCCATTCTTGCTCTATCCACACGCGTTGTGAATAATTGGAACCGGTTACTGTCGCCCGTCGTTGATGCACAGACGGAGGATAGCTTAAAACGACTATTTGATTAACACCAGTTGAATATGCCTGGATCTTGTTGCTTCCACTACGAGTGCGATCGCCATTCAGGAGTTTCCATTGCGCAATAACGAGCATCCCATCAATGATCAGGAAGCGATGGAGCTGACAAGCTATCTCTCTCCTGCTCTCTACCACCCAATGAACCAATAACTTTGAGCACTTCATCAATTCCTGGCTCAACGATCCACAGAAAATCGAACACGTATGGGATTCTCCTATCGTTCCAGTTGCACTCGAACTTGAACTTATATCACCGTGTTTTGTTTACGTTAAAAGACGCAACGGGGCAAAACTGTCTATGTCAGCTTTATTGCAAGCAGACGGGACCCGTGCGCAAAATGACTATGAAAAAGATTGTATACTTAGTGATAAGTATACCGGGGTCTATGCTCAGGAGACCACTTTACCACAGGTTGAATTGGTTTCAAGCGTGCCAGATGCTTACTGCTGAGACAAATTTAGCATAAGGGTGACCCAGGTCTTCGAGCTACTGCAAGGCATTAATCCCTCTAAAGCTTCCGGTCCTTATTCAATTCATCCGAAGCTGTTGCATGTATTGGAAACTGAGCTGAGTGGTCCACTTACATGCGTGTTTTCAATACCGCTGGACAGCTGCATCCTACCTTCGGAATGGTAGGAGGCAATCATCTGTCAGATTTTTACGGGCGGTGACAGCGCTCTACCCGCGAACTACCGGCCTGTCAGTTTGACAAGCGTAGTAGTCAAGTTGTTTGAAAAGCTGATAAGGGATTCAGTGCAGAACCATCTGAATAGCTTCAACCTTCTCATTGTTGCGCAACATGGATTCCGCAAGGGGTTTTCATGTCAGACTAATCTACTTGTAGCTCGTGAAAGCTGGGCCAAAGCGGAAGACAGTGGCCACGCTGTAGACGTGCTATTCGTGGACTTTTCGAAAGCTTTTGACACTGTTCCACATCTCCGACTCTCACTAAACTTGAGATTTGCGTGATATCTGGTCGCGCCCTTCAATGGATGTCTGCCTTCCTTGAGGGGAGGGAACAGTGCGTAAGAGTGGGCCGTCGCCTTTCGCTCGGGCAAGCTGTCCTTAGTGGCGTTCCGCAGGGCGCGGTATTGGGGCCATTGTTGTTCGCGATCTATGTAAATGATTTGCTGAGAGAGCGAGGTGTGTCACCACTACTGTTTGCTGACGACCTTAAGCTCTGGAATATTTTGGATATCCCGGGGTCCCGAGGCATTTCAGCATGCCGTACATAGGCTCTGGGAATGGTCTGCCTTATGGTTGATGCCCATAAATAGAACCAAGTGCTCTGTTCTTCGAATCGGAGCTGCAAATCCTCCCACCCGATATGTTGTCGGCGGTGGTGAACTCCCTGTTGTCACTCAGCAGGTTGATTTAGGAGTCGTGCAGGCAACAGCACTTCATTCTGGATACAGCTGGAAGAAGGCTGCTTGTCGAGGGTTTCGTATGATGTGGATTATCCGCCGCTCTTTTGAAAGCCTAACGGCCGTTGTTTATGAAGCCATTCTCGACATTCGTCCGACTCCACTTGGAATATTGTATTCAGGCTTGTCCACCATGTCTTAACCGCGACAACATGGACTTGGTAAGAGTGCTACGAGTGGGCACTCGGCTAATGCAAGGTCTACGGGGACAGGCGTATCGTGAACGCCTGCTCAGTTTGGGGAGGTACTCAAGGCACTACCGAAGGATAAGAGGGGACCTGCTTCTCACTTATCGTATTTTGATGTGCAAGATTGGCCCGGGCTTATCAGGGCTATTTAGTCCCGCTACGTTACCTAATCTCCGCGGTCACCCACTGAAACTGCATAAAACATGGTCTGATAGGTTTAGGACGGCAACTCGTCTGTTGCGCCGAGTTATAGATCGCTGGAATTTTCTTCCAGACCACGTGGTTAGGGAACCTACGATAAAGGGTTTTACGCGCCAGCTCGATGCTCATGGGTGGCAACAGCAAACTTATCGTTTTTCTTAGCTGACTCAACTTTACTTTTCAGTTCTTTTAATGACACAAATATCGTGGTATTCCACTTGCTTAGCTCTTTCCACTTTCATTTTTGCCTTCTGAGTTTACTTTTTTCTCTTTCTTACTTCACGTAACCGGCCCAGCAGGGACTGCTAAGGCAGGGTACGTGGGCATTAATTGGTTGGACAGGGTGTGATGCGGTCTTTGTTTTAGGTCCATCAGTTTTTCAAAGTTCGCCAACTCCTGGTTCGTCGACCCGCCGAAGAAGGAACACTCACGGGATAATCCTATCGTTCCAGTCCCGCTTGAACTTGAACTTGTTGGAAGTCACTCGATTTTGTTGGTGACATTGCTTACGGACCTCCACTGGGTTCCAGTGATCATGTTTGTTTGCTCTTCAGGTGTACTCTGTCTAGACGCTACCAGAGTATTGTTAATTCTCGCCCGAACAAATGGCACGCAGACTATCAATCCATGAGAGCCAAGGCTTCGGGTTTCCATTGGGAGATCTCAGACGACGATACTGTCGAGGTTGCCTGGGACAAATTTAAGTCCTACCTCAGAGAGATCTCAACTCCATCCCAGTCAGAAGGAGAAAGGAGTCCCGAGCACAGCCGCCCTGGATAGATCCCACTGTCAGGCATCTGCTCACAAAGAGGTCTAAAGGTTGGCGGACTTATTGGGATTATCCGTCCACCGATAATTATGACAGGTACCATAAGGCTAGAAATAGATGTAAGCAACACCTAAGGGTTGCTCGGCTCAATTTCGAGAAAGGGTTAGCGGACGAAACTTCAGAGAATCCAAAAAGATTCTTCGCTTATGTCAAAAGGCGCTGCGGTTCGAACATGTCAATTCCAGTATTAATGGGTGAGGACGGTACTCATGCGCATACGGACTATGACAAGGCCTGCGTACTTAATGGGCAATATACGACAGCGTTTGTAAGAGAAACCTCTTTGACAAGCATTGAGCTGCTTTGCGGGACCCCAGAGGGTTCAGAATTCTCTGAATTTATGGTAGTGGAGACGGAAGTTCGTAGGCTGTTACAAGGACTGAACTCTTCTAAGGTCGCTGGGCTTGATTTAATTCACCCGAAATTGTTGCATGAGTTGGCTACGGAACTAAGTGGACCACTCGCTATGGTGTTTCAGAAATCGCTTGACAACTGTGCATTACCTTCCGAATGCAAGGAAGCTGTCATCTGTCCCACCTTCAAACATGGGGCAGGGGTCTGCCTGCAAATTACAGGCCAGTTAGTCTGACGAGTGTGGTAGTCAAACATCTCGAGAAACTGGTGCGAGATTCATTGGAGAGTCATCGGAGTAGATTTAATCTACATAACAACGTGCAACACGGATTCCAGAAGAGATTTTCGTGTGACGAATCTACTGGTGGCTCGCGAAATTTGGGCAGATGCAGTGGATAACGGCCACACACTGGACATGCTTTCGTCGACTGTTCGAAGGCATTTGAAAAGGTACCCCATTTGAGGCTCGCGCAAAAGCTGTCCTCCTACGGGGTATCTGGCCGTGCCCTTCATCGGGTAACTGCCTTCTTGGAGGTAGAGCACAGTGTGTACGGGTAGGCCGGGGCCTATCGTTTAGGCAGTCTGTCCTCAGTGGCGTGCCGCAAGGCTAGGTCCTCGGACAGCCGCTGTTCTCTATCTATGTGAGTGACCTACCCGCGGAGCTTGAGGTACCATCACTGCTATTTGCTGATGACCTGAACCTGTGGAACATTGTCGATGTTCCTGGGGGTTCCGAAGCTATTTAGCGAGCATTGGATAAACTTTGGGATTGGTCTACTTTATGGTTACTGCCCATAAATCAAGCAAAGTGCTCCGTTCTTCGAATTGAAGGAGGTTGTCCTCCTACGAAGTTCGTGCTCCGTGGGGTCGAACTCCCCCTTGTATCTAGCCAGGTTGACGGGGGCGTCGTACACTCTTCGGCTTTACACTCCGGCGACAACTGGAAGAAGGCTGCAAGCAGAGGTTTCCTCATTTTGTGTTTAATACCTTCTTTCGGAGTCTTGACGGGCGGCATCTTTACGAGGCTGTTCCCGGCTTTCGTTCGGCCTCATCTGGAATACCGCGTCCAGGCTTGTCCGCCCTGCCTCATTCGGGACAAAATGGAGCTAGAGAGGGTCTTACGAGTGGGTACTAGGTTAGTCGAGGGATTACGGAGACGGACGTACCCCGAGCGTCTACTTAATTTGGGAATGCATTCAATGCACTACCGAAGGCTTATAGGAGACCTAATCCTAACCTACAGTATCTTAACTGGAAAGGTTGGTCCAGATTTATCTTGGATATTTAGTCCCGCTAGATTGTCTGTTCTACGCGGTCATTCCTTGAAGCTGGACAAACCGCGGTCGGATCGGATTAGGGCAGAAATCCGGCTGTCACGCCGAGTTATCGACCGCTGGAACATGCTTCCGGAAAATGTTATCAGGGAATCTACGGTTAAGGGGTTTGAGCGGCAGCTTGACGCTCTTGGGTGGCAACACGAAACCTTTCCATTTTCCTGAGTAACTCGCATCTTCGTACTTCGATTTTCTTTTCTCTACTTTTCTTCACGCATTGGTTTTATTTTCTTATTTCAAGTGCACTTCCTTATTCTGTACCTTTGCTTTCTCTTCCTATCCTTTGCTTACTTTAAGTGACTGCCACAGCAGGGACTGCTAGGGCAGGAAACGTGGGCATTAACTCTTTGGCCAAGGTGCGATACGGGTGTTCCGTTCTAGATCCATCAATAACTGAGCACTTCATCAACTCCTGGCTCAACGAGCCACGCCAGATGGAACATTCACGGGATTCTCCTATCGTTCCAGTCCCATCTGAACTGAACTTATGTCACCCGGTGTAGTTGACTCGACCTTGACCTTGAAATTGGGTGGGGGAGTAGCTTCCGCAATGACGGAGATGGAAGTTGACGATATCAGCCAAGCGAGTGCCAACAAGAAAAGATTTGAGATAAAGAAATGGTACGCAGTCGCACTATGGGCTTGGGATATCGTTGTCGATAACTGTGCTATTTGCCGGAATCACATTATGGATTTATGTAACTTCGCTTCTCCCTAATATTTGTTAGGCATCGAATGCCAGGCTAACCACGCCTCAGCCACGAGTGAAGAATGTACCGTTGCATGGGGTGTCTGCAATGTAATCTTGGTTTGCCTACTATAAACTTTAGCATGCATTTCACTTTCATTGCATCTCTCGCTGGCTGAAGACCAGACAAGTCTGTCCTCTAGACAATCGAGAGTGGGAATTCCAGAAGTGCGTTTTGTATTCAATTTTCGATCTAGTTTTCTGATATAGGTACGGACATTGATCAAGGATAAATGGTAGCCGTTCCATGCAGTTTACCTGTTTATTCGCATCCATCAAATACATCTTTTACTAAGCCTCCATTTCTACCTTGCCATTTCGCTGCACCATTTTTATACGAACTCATTAATAGGTGATGGGAAATTTCTGCTCTAAGCTCTGTCCGCCATCAACGTCCTCACGCGTGAGTTCAATTACCATGCTTTTCTTACTATAAATAAATAAATAAATAAATAAACTTTTATTCTCGACCATGCGAGACACACCATTACAGGCATGATCATGTTTAGCTAACAGTGTGATCAATAATGTACAAAAGTACATGTTTGGCATAACAGTGTATGTAAGTGTATAAGTGTATATACGTATGTATTTGTGTATGAATGTAGCTTGTGTCTTTAAATGTGCCGCAGCATTTTTGACTGTTTGTTGTCGTCAGGAATGTGAGCATAAGCGATTGATGTCCTTGGGTTGGATAGCACTTTCCGGATATCCACGGGCAAGTGACTTTATTTTGTGGCGAGTCACATCCGCCACGTCGCAGTGCTGATAAGCAGACATTTGTGGCTTTTTATAGGGAGAACGCTTGCCAGGCGAAAACCCATCACGTCCTTGAACACTGCCGCCGAACTATTTGCTGGAACGGGTTAAACCCGAACCACCCAGCTGGCACCACGAGGAGGTTGTTCGGCTAGCCAGCCTTTGGTACGATTCTCGCTCCCCACTTTATAATCTCTGATGGAAATTTCATCTTTGTTTGTGTGTTAACAGACGGAAACGCGCATTGCGCTAGTAGTTTTACGTTCCAGTATCACACCATTATTATTGCCAACTTCCGTAATCGAAGATAGTAGCTAAGATCTCGAAGCTGCATGAAATTTCGAGCCACGCTTCTGAACCCTTTCTAACAACACGTTCAAGTTTCTAGAGAGGATATGTAGCTTCCATATATATGCTGGTATATCAGCATCGAGTGGACATGTGAAGTGAACAGGGTCCTGAAAATCGCCGCAGTGGTGCGGCAGAACCATATTCGTGGAGCACACTATCTTTTGGCGTCCTGTTCTGTGATGCTCTGAAAACGTGACACGATAACCTCTAGGTCTTTCTCGTAGGTGACATTCTTGAAAAGATGCCCGTTAATGTGCTATGCACCCTACGGATCTAGATCACCAATTAAGAGAACATCACTTTTGTCGTGGTTTACTGGGTCTTGCCGTTTGTGGGTCTAGTCATACAACTGGTCTAGGGTGAGAATTACGCGACGAGTGAGCAGTCGATTCACAGTTTACCCAAACGCTTGGAGTGTTGGGCCGAACACTAAATAGCAGTATAATCATCCTGAGTTAACGTTTTCCTTGATGCTCTGTCCATCGCAGAGGATAATCAAAAGCACCCTATCTGCTGCATTAAGCAGGGTGGATAGGGGTAAGAAGGATACTGCTGATATCCCGTTTTTTTACTTACTCATGCGCTTTTTCCTCATTATTGCCCTCCTCTTCTCAACCACCAAGTTCTTGGACATTCCAAACTTTGCTTCAACAAGCACTTCTATATTTTTCGATTACACGCAATCGCAGGGCGTCGCTCCAGGGTAGTCGATACGTCCATATTCAACCAAGCGGATGTCAGTTCATCCGTTTCTATTTGGAGCCCTCGATCTTTATGGCTGGCATGCCTCAACAAGCGCACTTATTTACAGCTTGGCCACGAGAGAGAACACTCGCTCGAACACTGAAGACTCTGTCGATTGATATCTGCTGCTTATCGGGAACCGCTTGCAAGATTCGAGTTCGATGTTTATCTTCTTATCCTGCACAATACACCGTCAGCGCCTTTACATTGCCTTTGTCCTGAGGTGACGCAGATTCAAATGCCGGTCAAGTCGGTGTAGGCAGTGTATTAGGCCCCCATGCTGAAGCTTCCCAAACCGGTTTTATCGCACTCAACAGTCGGATATGCACCGTCAGATTGGCCCACTCACTCAAAGATTCGACATCGCCTGTTTGTCATTTCTACTGCGCGTCCACAAATTATAGCACCGACTTTGTGAAAGATTATTAGTATCACCAACAGAATGAGCTCATTCGTCACAGAAAAAGTGCTTTCTGGTGATCTGAACGCCCAAATTGTAAAACTATCCACTGATGAGTTGCATCTAGGTGAGCAACATGGTGTAGACTCCTATAATGATAACTGAGCGGTTGGTACACCCTTGTTAAGATTCCCGTCCCTTTCTCACGAGCACCAGCTTCCGACAGCACCTGGCGAAGAGTGACATGGCGCCCACCAACCATGGATGCAAATCTATCACCCCGCGATCAGTTACCGTCGAAGACTGTGCACAAAACTGCCTTTTGGTTTGGAGCACGAGCGTGGGCTCTGATCACACACTCGTGTGTGCGCATCTGTGGGTACGTTTTAGCGAAAGCGCAACGATGCTGTGAGCGCCTATACATCAGCCAACTGGCGAAGCCAGGTGCTCTGAATGCTTATCTAAGTACGCTGGTATTCGGATTGAGCAGATGCTCACCGAACATAGTTGAAGATCATTGGTCGCACATTCGCCGGACTTGACTATCAGCTTCACAGTGGGCGACTTATTGACTTAGACTATGCCGACAATATTGCCCTGGTCTGTGACGGCTCTCACACGAGTCAAGCAACAGTGGACAGATTAGCAACGACTGTCAGTCCTTTTTGCGATATGTTCTGCACCCTGGAAATGCAGTCGTTTTCCAAGATTGCCAGGGTCTCATCCCTGCAATGACCCTTGGTGGTGATCAGTTAGAAGTCGTTTAGATATTTATTTAGCAGCTATATTATCGCCATTGGAATAGCAAAGGTCGCGAACCATATAACAAAAGCGTGAAATGACTTTGCCAATCTCCTGCCTAATGTGTAATTTGGTTGTTAGCATTCTACTTATCTTTCCTATTCTGTACTGGTCTATATCTTATCCCTTCTGTATTGCGGCTAGTTAGCAGACTTGTTTCTCATCTCAACTAGCGTGTACTGATTGATTCTGGTTTACGATCGTTTTCATTATGTCAGCTTCTTGAATGTGGCTGGACCTTACCGTGGTGCGGTGGTTTGCGTGCCTCAGAGATCCATTGAGCTATGTTCGGTGGTGCTTTTTTTGCACCTTTAGAGCCACTCATATCAGATTGGTCGATGGTTAGAGGCCAGAAAACTCAGCCTCCTGGTCCTCCAGGTTGGGGGTTGGAATGAGGATGGCTCCTCATTTCATAAAACCGGCTCTCTGTAGTCCAGTGCCAAAACCCGCTGCCTTGCGATAAGGTTTTTGAAGTAAAGGCTTTGGTTGAGAACCCTTATCGTTCTCCTGTCTAGGCCTGGGCAACCTGACAGTATTCTGCAATACAATGAGCCCTTCATCAAACAATTTTTTGTGCTCTGGCCGTCACAGAAAATAATAAACGGCGCCCTATCTGCTGCATCGAGCCAGGGTGGATAGGGGTATGGATGCTACTGCTCAGGCCTTCCCGTCTTCTTATACCCCTTCTTGCGCTTCATCCTTATCTTCCCGCTCCAACTTTACTTTTATCCCCCATCTTCAATCCCCCAACTCTTGGCCCTCTCCAACCTTGCTTCAATAGTCGCTTGTCTTCTAGTTTCAAATCACAGTCGCAGGCCGTCGCTCCAATCCAGTCGACAAGTCCATGTTCAACCAAGCAGACGTCAGTTCATCCGTTTCCGTTTGGAATCCTCGCGTCTCGCTAAGACTGGCATGTCTCAACTTGCGCACTTTGCTACCCATTGGCCAACAGGCAGTACTTGCCCGCACACTAGAGACCCTCTCGATCGATATTTGCTGTTTATCAGAAACCCGCCTGCAAGACTTGAGCTCCTTGCTGACCCTGCGATCCCCCACATGCGACACTGGCGGCACATTCTCATTGCGCCTGTCTGGCGATGATGCAGCTTCAAATGCCGGTCAAGCTGGCGTCGGCATTGTTTTGAGTCCTCGGGCTGAAGCTGCCCTGCTTGATTGGATCCCAGTAAACAGTAGGATGTGCGCCGTTAGATTATCTGGTTCGTTCCGTGCTACGAAGTCGCGCGGGGAAAAACGGTGCCAGTTTGTCATTGCGGACTACGCTCCCACAAACTTTAACTCTGATTCGGTAAAAGATGATTCCTATCAGCAACTTCACCATCTCCTTCGTTACAGAAGAAGCACGGATACTGTGGTGTTGGCTGGCGATCTAAACGCCCAAGTCGGAAAATTGTCCTCTGATGAGCTTCATCTGGCCGGCCATCATGGTGTAGGCTCCCGTAATGATAACGGTGAGCGATTTCCACATCTGTGTGAAGATTCTCTCCTCTTTTTGCGAGCACTAACTTTCGACACAGCACCCGCAGAAGTGTGACTTGGCGACCACCAGCCTTGGGCCAGCCATGGACGCAAATCGATCATATCACGATCAGTTACCGCTGGAGAGGCTGTGTCCAAAAGTGTCGCTCGATTTGGTGCACGAGCGTGGACTCTGACCATGCACTTGTCTGCGCCGACCTCCGGGTGCGTTTCGGTGGACGTCCGCAACGTCGATGTGAAGGGATTGACACCAACCAGCTGGCGAAGCCAGATGTTCTGAATGTGTATCAAAGTGCGCTGACATTTGAGCTGAGCAAGCGCCCACTGAACACCGTCGAAGATCACTGGTCGCATATTCGTAAGACGTTACTGTTAGCAGGCATGTCCTTATGTGGCAAAGCAAATTACCAAACCGGACATTGGGTCTCTACACACTCTCTGGAACTTATGGATGCTCGCCGACGTATTCCGGCTGAAAGCGAATACAATGGGGCTCGCAAAAATTTCACGGCAAAACTACCTGCTAGCCTGAAGAAAGACCGTGAAACCTGGTGGTCTCATTGTGCCTCTGAGATGGAAACATCCGCTACCGTTGGCAATCATCGTAAGTTGTTCCGTCTGATACGGGGAACAGGCAGCAGGGGACCTGGTGTTAGCGAGACCATACGACGAGAGTGGGCAGCCGATCCACAGCCTGTCAAAACGCTTGGAGCGTTGGGCTGAACACTTTACAAGGCAATTTAACCAACCTGAGTTATCGGTCTATTTTTCGGGCATTTCGTTCTCCATGGGCCGTCTCCTTGGATCCGCCCTCACGCGCAGAAGTCGAACTTGAGGTCAGGCTGTTGAAATTGCATAAGGCCGCAGGGACAGAGAGCCTTCCCCCAGCCCTCTTCAAATTCGGGGGCCTGCTCTAATAGATGATTTACACGAAATGCTAGTGAAACTTTGGGAGCAGAAGACTGTCCCGACAGACTGGAACCCCTCCGTCATTGTCCCAACTTTCAAGGGAAACTCCCGTTGGGAATGCGGCAATCAAACAGGGATCAGTCTGATTTCGATCGCCTCTAAACTGCTTGCCTCTGTCATTCTCCACAGACTGACTGACACTCGTGAAAGCCAGATTCGTGAAAAACATGCCGGATTTCGTCGAGGTCGGGGCTGCATCAACCACATCTTCATCTTGCGTCAATTGTTGGAGCACCGCCATGCTTATTGGCGACCCACCGTTGTCGTGTTTCTTGACATAAAAGGTGCCTTCGACTCAGTCGATCGACGTGTCCTTTGGGACTGTCTGCTGAGGAAAGGTGTGCCTGATAAATATGTAAACATTATCAAAGCGCTGTACGCGCATAGTTCGGGCAGAGTGAGGGTTTATGGCAAACTGTCGCCAACCTTCAGTATCACCAGCGGTATGAGACAAGGTTGCCCGCTGTCACCTTTCCTCTTTAACTTCGCTATTGATAAAGTCATGGAAACAGCGTTCGCTGGACACGACCTAGAAGGTGTGGAGCTACTTCCTGGTGAGCGACTTCTTTACTTAGAGTATGCGGACGATATTGCCCTAATCTGTGACAGCTCCCAAACATGCCAAGCAGCACGGGACCGATTAGCACTGGCTGTCCATCGTTTTGGGCTATGCTTTGCTCCATCGAAATACGAAGTACTTCTCCAAGATTGGCAGGGACCCAACCTTGCGCTAACGCTTTGTGGTGATCAGCTAGAAGTCGTTTAGAATTTCAAGTACCTGGGCAGCTATATTAGCACCCGTGGAATTGAAGATGAGGTTACGAACCGTATAGCAAAAGCTCGAGGTGCTTTTGCCAATCTCCGCCACCTGTGGCGCAGACGCGACATTCGTCCTAATGGACAGAGTTTATAACGCAGCCGTCCGTTCAACTCCCCTATATGGATTTGAAACCTGCCCCATCATGTCGATAGACATAAAGAGGCTCGTCATATTCGATCATCGCTGTCTTCGCAGCTTAGCTCATGTCCGGTGGGAGCACCGCGTAAGCAATGAGCGTGTTCGGTGTCGCGTATTTGTTGCAGGAAGAGCGAGTGAACCTCTCAGCACCATTATATCACGCACCAGGCTCCGATGGTTGGGCGACGTGTTGCGCACGCCAACACACCGACTTCCGCGACGTGCATTGTCTGCGCAAGGAGACTGGACCTTAACGTGATGTGACGGTTTGCGTACCTCATTGACCCATTGAGCTATACTGAATGATGCCTCCGGGCACCTTGAGAGCTACTCCTACCAGGTTGGTCAATGGTGAGAGGTCAGACAAACTCAGTCTCCTGGTCCTCCAGGTTGGGGGTTTGAAATGGGATGCCGTCCATTTCTGTAAAACTAAATCGTTGCCACCTCGCCGCTGCCTTGTGGACAGGCTTTTGAGCCAAAGGCTTTGGATGAGGACCCTAATCGTCCTCCTATCTAGGTCTGGGCGCCCTGGCAGTATCTCAGCCCACATACAACCATAACATCTTCAAACATAAACTTCATCCTGCATCGGCCGTCGCGCAGATTATCAAGGGTCGCCTTATCTGCTGCATACAGCAGGGCGGATAAGCGAAAACATGCTACTGCTGGCGCCTCCCTTCTTTCTTTCCCACCTTTTTCTCTTACTCCCATCCCGACCCCCATTACTAACCTTCCCTTTATAATTCTCAGCTTAATTGACAGCAACAGAAGCGCCACTGGAGTAGAACCATTTGCAGCCACCATCCCACCGCACCTATCGGACGCCTATCGACAAAAGTCCCTTATAAGGCCACGCTACCCCGTTTCCATGGCGACATTCAACGTTCGCACTCCAAGACAAACAGGTTAACAGGCTGCACTCGCACGCACCTTGGACACACTGGGTATTGATGTGTGTTGTGTGTCCGAAACTAGGATCAATGACTCTAACGGGGTTATTGAATTGACTGCACCCGGCTTATCCTCTCGTTATTGGTTGCACGCATCCGGAGACGCCGATGCAGCACTCATGGGTCAAGCTCATGTAGGTATCCTTCTCAGCTTTAAGGCTGAGCCATTGTTGATTGATTGGATTCCGGTGAACAGCCGTTTATGTGCAGTCCGTTTGACGACATCAGCTAAGGTTGATTTACGAAGTAGTAAAAAACGCTATTTATTTGTGATTTCCGCTTGTGCTCCCACCGACTGCAGTTCTAATGCTGTCAAGGACACATTCTATCACGAACTGAGCGTGCTACTACGCAGTGCTACTAGTTCAGATATTATAGTACTTGC